TATATCAAGCAGTGAAAGAATTATGTAAAAATCATGACTGTGTCCAAAGTTATAGACATTTTAATTTTAAAAATAAAAAAAAAACGATTTTTTGTCATTTTTTTTGGGAAAAAAGTATCTTTTTCTTTTTAAGTTATCTAAAAAGTTTCTAAGAAGATGTATATAGAATTTATACTTTTTGGAAAGCTAACTTTACATAAAGTACGATAAATGAAACAATACCTAAAAATTTTTGATACCGAGGGGACCAGGTCCATCCAAAAAAACCCTATTTTTTATGGAAAATTCAATTTTGAGCAAAAATTCTCAAGTCGATATCAAATTATAGTGACCTGTTTTGTATGACCCAATATGTTCTTAATCATTTTGTAACGGGTTTCGATAACCCCGCCCCTGGTATGGATATAATAGGCAAAAAACCAAAAAATCCCATTTTTGGGATTTTTTAAAACTTTTTTGGGAATTCCGGGATTTCTAATAAGAAAATAAAATTTTTATTGCAATTTGAAAAATTTGTATCTTCGCAAAAACTGAATAAAAAACATTTTTTAATTTTTTTTTTAAAGTATTCCGCAAATTTTTTAATTTTCAAAAATTATATACAGTTTTGAAAAATAGACAAAATTACCTTTCCATTGATATATAACATGCCTACCTAATGTTTTTTAAGTGACAAATTCATTAGGAAAACTAAACATCTTTTAGAAAATTTACCTAGTACTATTATTTTCATCCATAAGGTTAACTCTTAAATTTGTTACATATATGGATGAAAATAATTGTGCTATGTAAACGACATTTTTTATAGTGCTCGATGAGGAGATTCTATATACGAAATTTTTTTTAAATCGGAACTCAAATGAAGAAATAGGATCGTTTTAAAAATTTAACATAGCCGAGGTGCCCTAATTTGAGGACCCCCCGCCGGCCCCTGGTTGGCCTATAAGGTCCAAATTCAAAACCTAAACTCGACAACACCTCCTCTTTATGCATACCAAATTTCATTAAAATCGGATTAACCGTTTAGAAGTTACCGAATTATTTCCCTCTTTTTTTTTTCCTATACCACTGTGAGTCAGTAGACCAAATGAATAGTCAATAGATTAGTCTACATATTAGTTAATAGACTTTCCTATAGACTAACAAACTGGTTTATAGACTAGTCCATAAACTGATCAGTAGGCTAGTCAATAGACTAGCCAACTGTCTATCTTATAAGCTACTCTATAGGATAGTCAATAGACTATTCAATAAACTGGTTGATAGATCAGTCTATAGACCAGTCAATATGCTAGACAATAGACTAGTAAATAAACTAGTCAGTAGACTAGTAAATATACTAATCGATAGACTAGTCAATAAACTAGTAGATAGTCAATAGTCAATATACTATTCAAAAGATTAGTCATTGAACAAGTCGATAGATTTATTTATAGATTAGCTGAAAGACTAGTCAACAGACTAACCAATTGACTAGTCAGTAGATTAGCATTAGTCTTGTCTACATATATAATAGTCAATATACTAGTCAATAAACTAGTTGATAGACTATTCAATGAACTGGTCGATAAACTGTTAAAGAAAATAGTTTATAGACTAGTCAATAGACCAAATTAAATCGATTTGTTTAGGTACTAGTCAATAGACTTTCCGATAGACTTGCCGATAGACTTCTCTATAGACTAGTAAACAACCTGGTCAGTATATGAATCAATAAACTAGTCAATTGACTAGTCAATAAACCAGTCGATATACTAGTCAATAGACTAGCCAATAAACTGGTCGAAATAATAGTCACTAAACTAGTCTATAGATCTATTTATAGATTAGTTGAAAGACTAGTCGATAGAGTATTGAATGAACTAGTCGATACACGAGTCAATAAACTAGTCTATAGACTAGTCAGCAAAGTGGCAGTATATTAGTCAATAAGCTAGCCAGACCAGTCAATAAACTGGTTGAAAGATTATATATGTATATTATAGTCAATATATATAGTAGTCAATATAATAGTCGATATACTAGTTGATAGACTATTCAATGAACTGGTCGATAAATTATTAAAGAAGCAAGTTGACAGACTAGTCAATAGACCAAATTAGTTGTCAATAGATATGTTTATGTACTATTCAATAGACTAGCCGACAGACTTGTCTATAGAATAGTGAACAATATCGTTAGTATATTAGTTAATAAACTAGCCAATATACTAGTCAATAAACCAGTCGATATACTAGTCAATAGACTAGACAATAAACTAGTCGAAAGATTAGTTAATAAACTAGTCGTTAGATTAATTTAGAGATTAGTTGAAATACTAGTCAATAGACTTTTCAATGCACTAGTCGATACAGTAGGCAATAAACTAGTCGATAGACTAGTCAATAAACTAGTCAATATACTAGTTAATGAACTGGTCGAAATATTAGTCACTAAACTAGTCTATAGATCTATTTATGGATTAGTTGAAGGACTAGTCGATAGAGTATTGAATGAACTAGTCGATAAACTAGTCTATAGACTAGTCTGCAAAGTCGCAGTATATTAGTCAATAAACTAGCCAGCAGACTAGTCGATAAACTGGTCGAAATATTATATATGTATATTATAGTCAATATATATAATAGTCAATATACTAGTCTATAAAGTAGTTGAAAAACTATTCAATGAACTGGTCGATAAACTATTAAAGAAGCAAGTTGACAGACTAGTCAATAGACCAAATCAGTTGTCAATAGATTTGTTTATGTACTAGTCAATAGACTTGCCGACAGACTTGTCAATAGACTAGTAAACAATATGGTTAGTATATTAGTTAATAAGCTAGCCAATAGACTAGTCAATAAACCAGTCGATATACTAGTCTATAGACTAGGTAATAAACTGGTCGAAAGATTAGTCAATAAACTAGTCGTTAAATCAATTTAGGGATTAGTTGAAATACTAGTCAATAGACTTTTCAATGCACTAGTTGATACAGTAGACAATAAACCAGTCCATATACTAGTCAATATACTAGTCAATACACGAGTTAATGAACTGGTCGAAATATTAGTCACTAAACTAGTCTATAGATCTATTTATGGATTAGTTGAAAGACTAGTCGATAGAGTATTGAATGAACTAGTCGATAAACTAGTCAATAAACTAGTCTATAGACTAGTCTGCAAAGTCGCAGTGTATTAGTCAATAAGCTAGTCAGCAGACTAGTCAATAAACTGGTCGAAAGATTATATATGTATATTATAGTCAATATATATAATAGTCAATATAATAGTCGATAAACTAGTTGATAGACTATTCAATGAACTGGTCGATAAACTATTAAAAAAGCAAGTTGACGGACTAGTCAATAGATCAAATTAGTTGTCAATAGATATGTTTATGTACTATTCAACAGACTTGCCGACAGACTTGTCTATAGAATAGTGAACAATATGGTTAGTATATTAGTTAATAAACTAGCCAATATACTAGTCAATAAACCAGCCGATATACTAGTCAATAGACTAGGCAATAAACTGGTCGAAAGATTAGTCAATAAACTAGACGTTAGATCAATTTAGGGATTAGTTGACATACTAGTCAATAGACTTTTCAATGCACTAGTCGATACAGTAGACAATAAACTAGACAGTATACTAGTCAATATACTAGTCAATATACTAGTCAATACACTAGTTAATGAACTGGTCGAAATATTAGTCACTAAACTAGTCTATAGATGTATTTATGGATTAGTTGAAAGACTAGTCGATAGAGTATTGAATGAACTAGTCGATAAACTAGTCAATAAACTAGTCTATAGACTAGTCTGCAAAGTCGCAGTGTATTAGTCAATAAGCTAGCCAGCAGACTAGTCAATAAACTGGTCGAAAGATTATATATGTATATTATAGTCAATATACATAATAGTCAATATACTAGTCGATAAACTAGTTGATAGACTATTTAATGAACTGGTCGATAAACTATTAAAGAAGCAAATTGACAGACTAGTCAATAGACCAAATTAGTTTTCAATAGAATTGTTTATGTCAATAGACTTTCCGACAGACTTGTCTATAGGATAGTGAACAATATAGTTAGTATATTAGTAAATAAACTAGCCAATAGACTAGTCAATAGACTAGTCAAGAGACTAGTCAATAGACTCGGCAATAAACTGGTCGAAAGATGAGTCAATAAACTAGTCGTTAGATCTATTTAGGGATTAGTTGAAAGACTAGTCGATAGACTTTTCAATAAACTAGTCGATACAGTAGGCAATAAACTAGTCGATAAACTATTACGAAAATTACTTGATAGACTAATAAATACACCAAATGAGTTGTCAATTGATTAGTTTATGTACTAGTCAATAGATTTGTCTATAGCAAAGTCGCAGTATATTAGCCAGGAGACTAGTCAATAAACTAGTCGAAAGATTAGTCAATAAACTAGTTGAAAGATTAGTCAACAAACTAGTCGATAGATTAATCAACAAACTAGTCGATAGACTAGTCAATAAACTGGTCGATAAACTAGTCGATAGATTATTTTATAGACTAGTTGATAAGCAAGTCACTCGAGTAGTCTCTAGACTAAATACAATTTCAAAATTGAAAACCTCCAGGCATGTGAAAAGTAAAAAGAGATCAGAAGCAGACAGTGAGATCAGTTGAAATACTACAAACAGTTTGTGTAAGTGGGAGTGATAATGATGATAAGTTCTTTTCTTATACTTATTTTTTTTTTTTTAGTAGTAGTGGTGAAGGTGTACTAAATACATAGATAATAATAAATAAATTCGTTTTTTTTCTTCTTGTTGTTATAGTTATTTAAATATATATAAAATTGTTTTTGTGTATGAGAATATAAACAGAATTTACACACAGATTAAGATCACTGACAAGATGAAAATATGATTGTGGTTATTATTATTATTTTTTTCATATTATTTATTTGCTTTTCTTTCCATAACGTATTCAAAACTTTAGGATAAATGATCAAATAATTTTAGTCTTTGTTCAGACTACGGAGCGAGCAATACTGGGGATTTTGGATTAAAAAAACAAAACAACGGTGAAAATAAAATATTTAAAATTTTATAGAAAATTTAATTAACACACAAAAAAAAAAAAAAACTAATTGCTATAAAAAAATAATACATATTTTTAAAACTAGCACAGGAAATGGAATTTTGTAATTAAACAGTGAAGTGATTTTGCTTAAGTTTTAATAGGATTTTAATAGAAATTTGTTATATAATATTTTAAAAAATATTACAAAAATTTTAAAATAATTCCATACATTTTTTTTTTAATTTTCTTTAAAAAGTAAGAGAAATGAAAAATTCTAAAAATTTAACAAAAGCCATGTTTCAATACCATTCTATACCCGTGGAATTGTAAAGATATCTGCGATATTAATTAAGCTATTGTATTCAATACTAAAACGAACTTCAAATAAAACTAAAAATACAAAGAAAACTGAAATTAAAAAAAACCCCTGTATTTTTTTCATAATGAAAAGTGATGTAAAAAAAAATCTAAAACTAAGTTAAACACAGAGATCTCTAATATACACAAATAAATAATAATACAAAAAAAAAAAAAAGAAAAATATATGATGAAATTATCATTTAAATCAAATTGAATTAAATTCGAAAAAAATAAAATAACAGACATTTAATTTCAAGTGTGATTTAAGTAATCCGAAGAAGAAAAAAAATCTTAAAATTCTACTTTATTCGAAAGTGTCTAAACTTTAACGTCATCTCCGCCGCCTGCTCGTGATCTGTATATGTAGTGGAACCATTGTTGGATCAAATACAAACGTCAAATACAAATAAAATTACAATTAATTTTCATTTATGTCAGACCCCACAATCAACAAACTTTTAGTGTGATTTTTGTATTAAATAAAGTTTTTTTTTTTCGCTGAAAAAGATCTCTTGTTATAAAAAGTACTAATTTAAAATCCATAAAAATATTGCCGAAAAAAAAAAAAAAAATCATAATTTTTTTCTATAAGTGTAAAAAGAGATTTGAATTTTTGTTAATAATTTATAAGTGTGAACAGAGTTTTCATCTTACTTCAAAATGGGTGGCGAAGAAGTTGCTACGGAAACGGTTTATATGCCGCCAACTTCAAAATTCGATGAATTTTGTATACGTCGCGGTATAAATCCGAATTTGATTATGTTGAAAATTACGCTGTTTGTTATGTATGGAGGTAAGTTGCATTTGAATTATTTGAGTTATAGATCAAAAGGTAAAAATTATCTTAAGGATTCGAAACAAGTCTATACAACACTCTATAGTTCAGTCTATATATCAGTCTATAGGCAAGACTATAGATTAGTCTATAGTCAAAAAAAATTAGACTATAGTCAAGGCTATAGATCAGCCTATAGTCAAGACTATAGATCAGTCTATATTCAAGACTATAGATCAGTCTATAGTCAATACTATAGAACAGTATATAGTCAAGATTATAGAACAGTCTATAGTCAAGACTATAGAACGGTTTTTAGTCAAGACTATAGAACAGTCTATAGTCAAGACTATAGCACAGTCTATAGTCAAGACTATGGATCAGTCTATAGTTAAGACTACAGATCAGTTTATAGACAAGACCATAGATCAGTCTATAGTCAAGACTATAGATCAGTCTATAGTCAATACAATAGATCAGTCTAAAGTCAAGACTATAGATTATTCTATAGTCAAGACCATAGATTAGTCTGTAGTCAAGACTATGGAACAGTCTATAGTCAAAACTGTAGATCAGTCTATAGTCAAGACTATAGATCAGTCTATAGTCAAGACTATAGATCAGTCTATAGTCAAGACTATAGAGTAGTCTATAGTCAAGAATATAGATCAGTCTATAGTCAAGACTATAGAGTAGTCTATAGTCAAGACTATAGATTAGTCTATAGGCAAAACTATAGATCAGTCTGTAGTCAAGACTATAGATCAGTCTATAGACAAGACTATAGATCAGTCTATAGTCAAGACTATAGTTCAGTTTATAGTCAAGACTATAGGTTAGTCTAAAGTCAAGACTATAAATCAGTCTATAGTCAAAACTGTATATCAGTCTATAGACAAGACTATAGATCATTCTATAGTCATGATCAGTCTTTTGTCAAGACTATAGATCAGCCTATAGTCAAAACTACAGATCAATCTAAAGTGAAGACTACAGTTCAATCTATAGTCAAGACTACAGATCAGCCTATCATCAAAATTATAGATCAGTCTATAGTCAAGACTGTAGATCAATCTACAGTCAAGACTAAAGATCAGTCTATAGTCAAGGCTATAGATCAATCTATCGATCAGTCTATAGTCAAGACTATAGATCAGTCTATAGTTAAGAATATAGATCAGACTATAGTCAAGAATATAAATCAGACTTAGTCAACGGTATAGATCAGTCTATAGTCAAGACTATAGATTAGTCTATAGACAAGACTGTATATCAGTCTATAGACAAGACTATAGATCATTTTATAGTCATGACTATATATCACTGTATATTCAGGAATTGTGATCAGTCTATAGTACAGATTATAGACCAGTCTATAGTCAAAAGTATAGACCAGTCTATAGTCAAAAGTATAGACCAGTCTATAGTCAAGACTATAGATCAATCACCAGCCAAGACTATAGATCAATCACCAGTCAAGACTATAGATCAGTCTATAGTCAAGACTATAGATCAGTCTATGGTCAAGACTGTCGATCAGTCTATAGTCAAGACTGCAGACCAGTCTAAACTGAATTTTATTTCAAATTTTTTAACAAATAATCAATTGAAATTATTTTGACTACCTAAATGTGTTATGTTCATCTTTTACACTAGATATTTTAAAACATATTAATTGACAGATTCCTAAAGTAACAAAACATATAATAAATTATCAAAATGACAGTGAAATGTATATTAATATACAATGATATTTCGAAATTTACTTAAATACTGGTAGCAGCAGCTATGAAAAAAAAAACTAAAATCACATGTATGCTTGACAATATTCTAAACAAAACTAAATGACTTCAAATTAGATGAAATGTTTGTATATTTTAGTTTATGTCTCATACGTACATATATTCATCTTTAACTAATGAATATAAATTCAGAGTCACTGTCAAATTCACTGGACACTCTCGGGACAAACACTAACTATATACATACATATTTATATATGCTGCAGCAGCGGATGATGAGACAATATTAAAGACAATATTTTAGTCACAGTAGTGGGTAGATTAAAAGAAAACTCATGCAAAATAATATGCTACATGAAATACACTGAGCGAAATTAAATGCTAAACATTTTGCATTTTTATTAGAACAAATTTTTTATTCCGCCAGAAGGAATTGATTTTTAATCTCAAGCCCATATTCTAGTCCATATCTAGATCAGTCAGGTCATTATAAAATCTATAGTCTTTATTTTAATATATTCTTTGATCTGGACTATATTTTCGGGCCTTTAGTTTAGAATACAGTCGTATATATAGCTTAGTCCATAGTCTGCATTGTATTTTGAACTGTAGCATTGACTACAGTCTAATATATAGCCTTCACTTTAGTCTAGACTATTATTGTGCCTATTAACAGTCTAGGATACAGTTGATGTATTAATTACAGTCTAGCAGTAGCTAAAGTCTATAGTCTTGACTATATTCTAATCTTCTGTAGTCTAATCTATAGTATGCAGTCTAGTCGATATAATTGAGTACAGTCTTATCGATAATGTGGACTATATCAATACTAGTCTGAAATGTGGATTATAATCTAGTCTATAGTCTGGATTATAGTATAGTCTATAGTTTGGACTATAAGACTATAGTATGAAATATAGTCAGGTCTATAATCTGGCTAATAATCAGAACTATAGTCTGTATAGTCTGAACGATTGACTAGTCTATAATCATGTCTGGACAACAGTATAATCTGTAATCTGGACTATAGTCATGACTATAGTTTAGTTTCTAGTCTAGTCTATAGTTTGGACTATAGTCAGGACTACAATCTGCACTATAGTCTAGATTGTAGTCAAGTCTATAGTCAAGACAATGGCATAGTCTAGAATAGATTGAACTTTAGTTTACTGTACAAATTGAACTATGGTCTTGTTTATAGTTGGACCGTACTTAAGTCTATGGTCTGAACTAATTTAGCCTATAGCTCGGACTTTAGTTTAGCCTACAAACTGGACTATAGTCCAGGCGATAGTCAGAACTATAGACTAGTCTGTAATCAGGACTATAGTCTGAACCATTGACTGGTCTATAATCATGTATGTAAACAGTAGTAGTATAGTCTAGTTTCTAGTCTGGACTCTAGTGTAGTCTATAGTCAGAACAATAGTCTGGACTGTAGTTTAATCTATAGACTATAGTCTAGACTATAGTCAGGGCCATAGTTTTGACTATAGTCTGGATTATAGTCTTTTGTCTAGCTTATACTCCGAACAGTAGTTTAGTCCATAGTCAGAACTATAGTCTATTCTATGGTATGAACCATATTCTAGTCTATAGTCTCATATATAGTAGTCCATAGTCAATAATTTGGACTATAGTCTAACCTGCAGTCAGAACTGTAGTCTACTCTATATTCTGGACCATAGTATTGTCAATATTCTAGAATATAGCCTAGTCTATATCCTGGATTATATCCTAGTCTAGTCTAGCGTATAGTCTGCACTATAGTCTAGTCTTTAGTATATACTACAGTCTAGTCTATAGTCCAGACTAATCTAGTCTGGTGTATAGTCAATATAGCTTAATCAATAGTCAGGACTATAGTCTAGTGTATACTATGGATTACTCTCTAGTCTATAGTGAGAACTATAGTCTGAACTATAATCTGCTCCATATTCTGGTCTATAGTGTAGACTATAGTTAAGTCTATAGTTTGTCTACTATATAGTCTGGACTAGTACATATTGTAGCCTATTTTCTTGACTATAGTCTAGGGTATAGTCTTAACTATAGTCAAGACTATAGCCTGAACTATAGTCTGCACTATAGTCAAGACAACAGTCTGAACTGCAGTTCATTATAATCTAAACTATAGTGTAGTCATATTGTATAGTCCTCCCTATAATCTAGTTTACGTCTCGACTACTGTAAGTCTAGCTAACTATAGTTTATTTTATAATGTCATGGGAATATTTAGTAGCCTTTATAGTCCATAAGCTGATCTAAAGCATTAATTATAGCCTAGTATTAAACCATACTACCCTAGTAAACAAAGTTTATTGTTTTGATTTAAAAAAAATTGCGAAAATTACAAGACAAATAAACGACATACAAATACAAAATAACAGATTCATTATATACTTTAGATGTGATGAATTAGATTTATATCACATTTTCAATGTTAGATGTAGTATGATATGATTTAAATGGAAAATTTTAAGGGAAAGACTGCCAAAAGATAGAAATGAAATAAATTAATAAAAATTTAATATTTAATTAATTTTTAAATAATAATTATTTATGAAAGGAGGACAAGTCAATGAACCGTAATTCGAAATATCGTGTTGTGTTTCAAAATCTGTTAGCGCTTTAGAGATTTAATTGGTTGAGGAAGATTCTCTCTATAAATCCTAAAGTTTAGATATAAATGGCATGGGAATGTTCTATATAAATTACATTAACTGACAATCATGAACAAATTTTCTTCTCACATATGAAGAAATCATTTCAAAAAATAAGAAATAAATTTATTAGGGGGATATTTTTTTGAAATTTTAAAATGGAAAATAGTTTATTTTTGATACCAGGAAAGATATAGTTTCGAAAAGTTCACTTTATGATATTTAGGCCTATGTAAAATTCTATCTCAATCGGGATCTGTATGGTATGCTTGTCGTAAGAAAATCCTCCCTAATAAAGACATATTTACTTACTTACTATCTCTAGTAAAATTAGTGTATTAAATTAAACTACACTATATCACTAAACCAGAATGACCGTCATTTGTCTTAGATTTTTTGTTCTACTTCATAGTTTAATTCAAATCTATATAGAAGCAAAATATCTATTTAACTACACTCCTCTAACATTGTCCAGGTCTCGATGTTAAATTGTTGGAGGGTAAATTTCAACCTAGTTACAGTTTTACTATACATATACATAAATACATAGTAGTTAGTTATAGTAGTACAAAAACTACAACAAATAAAAGGAAATGACATTAAAAAGATATAA